TCTGTAGATCAGACTGACCTTGAACTCCCAGAGACCCGCCTACCTCTGCCTCCTTGAGTGCTGGGACTAAAGGTGTGCACCACCACCGCCCAGTGGTTTTAAATTTAATTTAACCATTTTTTTTCTCATGTTCCCTTCTGGAATATTGCTAGTATTTTCGGCAATAAAGACTTGAAATGTGCCGGGCGGTGGTGGCACACGCCTTTAATCCCAGCACTCGGGAGGCAGAGGCAGGCGGATCTCTGTGAGTTCGAGACCAGCCTGGTCTACAGAGCTAGTTCCAGGAGAGGCTCCAAAACCACAGAGAAACCCTGTCTCGAAAAACCAAAAAAAAAAAAAAAAGACTTGAAATGTGATGTACATATTATCTGGGATGCTGCTGAGGCATCTCTCCCAGTTTTGTAGGTTGTCTTTATAATGTTAATCACTTCTAGATAATGTCAGCTTTTCGTGCCTCATTCTCTTATGTACTGGCTACCCATGTTGTTATAAATTCATACTATCCAGTAGATCTCCAGCACCCATTACCCTATCCCACAGAAGTGTGATGTTTGTACTGTATAATAAATGTAGTAAATAGACCTAAGGCACAGGTGCCGCTTGAATATGAAAAAAAGACTAGATTGCCGGAGAAACTGATTTTAAAATTTTGTACAATATTATTAAATTTAACTTAATTAGCAACTTGTCACTAGTGATTACAATATTGGACAGCCTGGTTGTAAAACATTGGCATAGGATATGCTAAGGAAGTTATTTCATGTTGTGCTTTCTTTGAGTTGCTTCAGAATTAAGTGTCCAACTGAAGAGTAAGAGGTTAAGTTTGCTTATTCCTTGTTATAACCAAGACTACATTTTTCTCAGCTAAGGATAAAGATAAATATTTCTACTTCAAATAAAAAACAAAATGTGTTTTTGGTTGATGTTTCATAACTATTATTTGGAGTTTTAGATTAAAAATAAAAATGAGGGGCTGGAGATGCCTATGTGGTTAAGAACTCATGCTGTTCTTTTAGTTAAGTTAAGTTCTTAGTGTTGGATGGTTCACAGCTACCTGTGACTCAAGCTCTATTGGGATCTGGATCTATAACCTCTGACCTCCATGGGTACCCTCACACGTGTGCACTGCCCCCCCCCCCCCCCGCATTAAACATATTATAGAAATGTAGAAGGCGAAGGTACTGTTTTGGAACGTCAATTCCCTTCCATTTTACAGAGAGAGTACAAAAGAACTAGTTAAGTCAGAGTTTCCTTTCCCTTTGAAGTTTTTACATGTTGAAGATAATCATGGAAATGCTTTGTTTTTACATTTTTAATATTTGAGTGGAAGTTCTCTGTAATATCAAGCTTCTTTGTAAACTCCAGATGAATTCAGATATTACTTCTGAACTAGTGATGAAGAATAAATGTGTTTATGTTACAAAATTAATCTTTGTCTAAGAAGAATCTTGCCCTCAGTTGAGTTTTGTATGTTGAGTGTCATTAAATTGGTCAAAATTAATTTTTTTTTATTAAAAAGAAGCAAAAACTTGAAGTATAGTTCTGATTGTACAGCAATATATTCTGCCTTTTAAAAAAAGTGAACTAAAGTTCTATGGAATATTGATTCTACTATATATATAATTCTACTATGTATGTAGTACAATTTCATACCATATGTACCATTTTGTATGGTATTAGTGGTTGCTAATTAACAGTTGAATATTATTCAGGTCTTTGAAGAGAACTAAATTATTTCAAACTCTTGCTTTGTTGAAGGCCTTAGTCTCTCCTAGACTTTTGTTCTCAATAAATTTCTCTTCACATTTCACAGTTAATATGAGTACATTCTCATTTTCTTGTGTTTTTTGTGTGTTTACATGTTCATGTATGTATGTATGTGTGTGAAGATCAGAGGTTGATGTCAGGTGTCACTCCACTTTTTTATTTTTTATTTTATTTTATTTTGATTCAGGGGCTCACTGTAGTAATCCTAGCAAGCCTGAAATGTCTTACGTAGACTAGGCTGATCTTAAATTCAGAGATACTTCTGCATCTTGAGTTCTGAAATTAAAATCATGGGCCACTGTGGCCATCTCCACCTTATTTTTTGAGAGAGGGTTTCTCACTGAACCTGAAACTCAGTGAGTGGCTGGACCATTGGCCGGGAGGTTCAAGGGCTCTGCTTTCCCTCTTCCTCCTGCCGTGAGGTGGAGTTACCCTCTGCGCGGCTTTTTATGTGGATCCCCCACATCCCACATCAGGCCCTCTAGTGTGAGCTGAACTTTTCACTCACCGAGCTGTCTCCTTGACCTTAGTCTTTTTCCTGTTCCTGAAATCAGTTTGCAGTCACCATCATTGATCTCTCCCTTCTTTGTATTACAGTATGAAGGGTTGCTGATAGGTGCTCCTCTCCACCTTTTCTGTTTCTTCTGATTATGTCTGTTTCCGTCTACTGTGTGGAGTCCCGGAACTTGCACTTAGTATCTGCTGCTGAGACTTCTCCCGCTTCCAGGAGAGGGGGAATATGGATGGGTGAGGGTAGGGCAGCTAAAGGTATCTGCCACAGTAACTTGCCCACTTTGATTGGAGTACCCAGATAACATTGCAAAATAAGCAACGTTGAGTGCTTGGCATCAAATACTATACAATATTATAAGTCAATTGTAGGGAAAATGAAGGAGATTGTAAGGAGACCAGCAGAAATTCAAAAAAAGCAAAATTACTTTCTTTGGCTTTCTAAAGCATTTCTTTTCTTTCTTTCTTTCTTTCTTTTTTTTTTTTTTTTTTTTTTTTGATTTGATTTTTCGAACAGGGTTTCTCCGTAGCTTTTGGTTCCTGTCCTGGAACTAGCTCTTGTAGACCAGGCTGGCCTCGAACTCATAGAGATCCTCCTGCCTCTGCCTCCCGAGTGCTGGGATTAAAGGCGTGCGCCACCACCGCCTGGCTCTAAAGCATTTCTTTTGCTTGGGGAGATCAGATATACATAAATTACAAAACTTTACTCATGCTGTGAATAAAGGGGATTTCTTTTTTTAATTGATGTACTTTTTTATTGTTTTATTTTATTTTGGTGTTTTGAGACAGGGTTTCTCTGTGTAGCTTTGGAGCCTGTCCTGGAACTAGCTCTTATAGATCAGGCTGGCTTCGAACTCACAGAGATCCTCCTGCTACTGCCTCCCTAGTGCTGGGATTAAAGGCATGTGCCACCATCACCCAGCTTAATTGACATACTTTTAAATTAAAATACAGAGTTTTATTTTTATTTTATTGAGACAGGGTCTTGTAACAAGATAGGTTCTTGTAATGTAACCCAGAGTGGCCTGGAACAGTCTTACCTTAGTTTTACAAATGGGTAAATCAGAGATTTGTTTAGAATGTTGTTCATGTTTAGTATTGATTTTCAATCCAAAATGGAAAAGGAAGCCTAGGAAACAGCTCTTGAGAAATTTGTATTGTGTATAAGCTGGCTGTTCTATCCTTAATTTCAATATATGATAAAAATAGCCTTGCTAATGAAGTAATTTATGGCAACTTACATTTGACTATTTTTATTATAATTTATCAACTTGTGAAAATAAGAAAAGTTTTTCCCCCTTCTAAAGTGTGTATGGGAATTAGAACTACAGTAACTTAAGGTTTCCCAATGTAATGAATTATCGTGTAGAAAGAACATTGGAAAACTGTAAGAGGAGGGGTCACAAAGTTATGAAAGAGGACAGGGGCGCAAACCTGGAGTGTCCTACAAAATAGTAGGGTAGGTAGAATTTGTCTGTGTGAATTTTTTTTTCTGTTTCTTTCTTCTTTCCTTTTTTTTCCCCTCCCCCCGCTTGAGACAGGGTCTCTATGTAACCCTGACTGTTTTGGAACTCACCATGTAGACCATGCTGGCCTCAAACTCAGAGATCCACCTGCCCTCCGAGTACTGGAACTAAAGGCGTGTGCCACCACACCCAGTTTATATATTTTTTAATCATAAAAAATTTTTCCAAAGCATAAGCTTTTAAGAGAAGACAGCTGTGGAACATTCTGGTTTTGGATATACTATATTGTCTACCTACTCTTTTATTAGTAGACATTTAATCCTTCACAGTTCTTCTGTAAACCAGGGGAAAATCATTTGTCTCTTTAAAAGTTTATTTAATCTTATGTTTATTTATGAGTTGTGCTGTGTGTGTGAGAGAGAGAGAGAGGGAGAGAGCATGCTCACGAGCATGAGCATGTGTGTCACCACATGTGTATACAAGACAGAGAACAACTTTTGGGAGCCGATTCCTTTCACCATGTGGGTTTTGGAGGGTATTCAAACTCAGGTTGTCAGGATTGGAGACAAACACCTTTATTTACTGGGCTCTGGCTCCCAATTTTAAATTTTTTTTTTTTTAAAGATTTTTTGAGACAGAGTTTTGTTGTGTAGCCTTGGCTGTCCTGAAACTAGCTCTGTGGGCCAGGCTGGCATAGAACTCAGAGATCTGCCTGCCTCTGCCTCCTGAGTGCTGGGATTAAAGGTGTGCACCACCACTAACTAGCCCAATTTAAATCTTAAATGATGAATTAGTTACATAAAAACCACATGTCAGGATTTTGAGGATTACTGAAAAGAACATTGAGTAGCAGAAATAACATTTTGAATTTTCCAGTATGACGAGAAAAATGACAGTCCTTCAGTGAATAAAAATATTAAACTATCAGTATCTTAATAAAATTTTGACATTAGTCATCCATTAAAAAAAGTTAAAGCAATATATAATATTGCTTACTTACATAAAGTAATATAAATGTGAATAAATTTTTTTCTTAAGTATGTATATATATATAATTGTCTTAAGTTTATATATTTACTAATGACAGATTTTTTTTTTAAGTAAAATGATAATTTTGCTTGGAAGCTTTAAACTGCTCATCATTTTCCAGTGGAGTATTATTGTATGGACTATTTAGGAAAGAAATGAAGAAGGAAGAGTTCTTTTCAAATATGTGTGTATTCTTACCAGGCTTATTATGTTTCTCTTCATTTACAGGCCTTTCTGCAAATGTGTAATCTGCCTGTCAAAGTGGTGTGTAGGGCAAATGCAGAATACATGTCTCCATCTGGTAAGTGTGTGTTTTCTGTTAATACTGTTTATTCTTTTGTACTGAGGATTGAACCTAAGGCCTTGAACCTGCTAGGTCAGTTCCTTACCACTGGCCGTATTTCTAGCCCCCGTTATCAAATCCTTAGTTTATTTTTCCCCCTTTGAAGACTTATCTTTTTAAAGTAGCAGTTATAAGCTTAATCATGAAGACCTATGTCTATTTATGTCACCTCTGGTCTGAGGTTTTTAACTGGATGTTCAGTACATATGTGATATTACATTTCCCCAGTCTTATTTATATAGGGCTTTCCTTACCTGAAAGCAAATTTTAATGTTAATGAATTTTTTAGCATCCCTGAGTTATATTTCCTATAGAACAGGTAAAAGAAAAAAGCACGTGAAATAATTAAATCGTCAACTTTCTTTTTTTTTAGTATTTTAAAGTACTTTTAGTAAAGCTTCACTTTGGCTCTTCTGAATGATGACAGTGATCTGTGTTACATGCTAGTGGATTTAGTGATGAGGATGATTTGTGTGTTAGATGCCAATAGATCTAACTAGTCTTAAATCAATGAGATTCAAATAATTCATTCAAATGTCTCAAAGCTAACTAAATGTTAAATATAATGTCACAGATTATTTTCATTTTGGTTTTGCTAAAGCAATAACTACACAGAATCATTCTTTCATGAATAAATGATTGTGTATAATTGATTAGTGTAGGTATGCTATATAGCTTTTTATGCATATAAAATTTTGTTAATCTCTTCATCTTGATATGGTGATTATTTAGCAATTAGCTGTGTTTAGCATTTTATTTTCACCCTTAAGTTTTTAAGGGTGATAATAATTGTTAGACTATCTGTAGATACCCATCCCATAACACTGAAAATTCCGTACAAATGTACATTTATTGGATTTCTGAATAAACATTTCTAAGAAAAATTTTCTAGACTTAGAAATCAAATATATTTTGGATTTTCAGAGGTTGCTATTGCTGTGATGAAACACCATGACCAGAAGCAACTTGGGGAGGAACAAGTTTATTTCGCTTACATAGTTCTGAATCTCAGTCCACTAAGGGAAACCAAGGTAGTAACTCAAACTGGACAGGAACCTGGAGGCAGGAGCTGATGCAGACCATGGAGGAACACTGCTTACTAGCTTTCTCCTCATAGCTTGCTCAGCCTGCTTTCTTATAGGACCACCAGCCCTCAGGGGTTGCATCATCCATAATGTACTTAGCCCTTCCACACCAGTCACTAATTAAGAAAATGCCCTGCAGGCTTGTCTATAGCCCAATCTTTCGGGGCAATCTTAACCCTGAGTGTCATGACCCTTTTCGTGGGAAATCAAACAACCCTTTCACAGAAAACACAGGTAATTTACATTACAATTCATAAAATAGCAAAATTGCAGTTATGAAGTAGAAACAAAAGTAATTTTATGGTTGGTGGTCATCACAACCATAAAATTACTTTTGTAATTTTAAGGGTTGCAGTTTAGGAAGGTTGAGAAACCACTGTTATGCATTCAGTTTCTCAGCTGAGATTCTCTTATATGATTCTAGCTTGCGACAAGTTGACATAAAAACTAGCTGGTTCAGATGCTAATGTAAACTGTGGAATTCTGTTGAAATACATTGTATCTTCACTGTCTTTTTCTTTGTCATATAAGGAATTTGGTTTATACCTACTGTCTTAGGGTTTCTCTGGCTGTGAAGAGACTCCGTGACCATAGCAACTCTTATAAAGGGAAACATTTAATTGGGTGACTTAAGTTTCAGAGGTTTAGTCCATTGTCATCATGGTGGGACATGATGGCATGCAGGCATGGTGCTGGAGGCGCTGAGAAGGAGGTGCTTCTTGATCAGCAGGCAGCAGGAAATTATCTGAGACACTGCACATGGCTTGAGCATATCTGAGACCTCAGAGCCCACACCACAGTGATACACTTTCTCCCTTTGAAGGCCATTCCAACACCGGCAAAACCACACTTCCTAATATTGCCATTCGCTATGAGCTTTTGGGGGCCAATTACATCCAAACTAACACACCTACTTATAAAATGATTAGTAATTTAACACTGAAGTTAGGATAAGTGACAAGAAGTGATGTAGTTTGTCACGTATGTAAGTTATTGTGCTTATATAATTATGGATTAGCTTCATTTTACACATTTATTGCCATGTTCTCTGGCCTTTTTACTAAGACATTTATACTTAATCTTGTCTCAAATTAGTATTTCCTTTATCATGATTGGGAGTGATAAGTGCAAAATTTCCTTAAAAATCTGCCTACTTAAAATTATAATTTTTTTGAGTCAAGGGCTCACTGTTTTAGGGTTTCTATTGCTATGAAGAGACAGCATGACCATGGCAACTCTTATAAAGGAAAACTTTTATTGGGGCTGGCTTGCAATTTCAGAGATTTATCCATTATCATCATGGCAGGACATGGTGGCGTACCAGGCAGAGAGTTCTACATTTGGATATATAGGTAGCAGGAAGAGGCAGTGAGCTGCTAGGCTTGGCTTGCCCAGCTGAAACCTCAAAGCTCACCCCCAGGGACATTTTCATTCAAACCACCACACTCGCTGTATTTCTTTGGCTGTTCTGGCACTCTCTATGTAGACCAGGCTGGCCATGAACTCATAGAACCTGTCTCTGCCTTCTGAGTGCTGGGATTAAAAGAATGTGCCGCCGTACTCAGCTTGTAATGGGTTTCTGAAACAGAACATAGGACAGTTAGAAAACATTTTGGCTAATAGTTAGGAAGTCATTAATCCTGTTCCTTTGTCTGTTATTAACTGTTTCTCTTCTTTTAACTTTTTTACATGAGCTGCTCAGACAAAATGACATCTAAGTTTCTAGCTGACAGTCTCTGAATATACAGACTTACTTGACAATATGTTATTGCTTTCTTTAGAAAAAAAAAAGAAAAATAGGGCTAGGGAGATGGTTCTCTATTTACAGTCCACGCATGAGGCCCAGTGTTCAGATCTTTAGCACCCACACAAAAATCTGGGCATGCCAGTATCTGCCTGTGTTGGGAGCTGTGAACCCCCAGATCCTGAATTTCTTGTAAACAACTTGTTTTCCCCTGATCTGAGTGCCTACAGCTGCTCTGAGCATGAGACCTTCAGGAGTTCCTGATGGCAGGGGAATGGTTTCTGGTGCGTTTGGCTGGGGCGTGGCTATCTCTATATAAACTGCCCCCTGAACACAATAAAGGAGGCATTCTTGGGGCATTTGACTTCAAGGATGACCCATGTCTCAGTCTGTGAGTCTTTGTGTGTTTCAATCTCCAGCCCCTTGCCCAGCTCACGAACTGTATGGTGGTGCGCTACATGCCTGCAGTCCCAGAGCTAGGAAACAGAGACGTGCAGTCTACGTAATCCTTGAGTCTAAGTCCAGTAAGAGACTCTGTTTCCAAAATCAAAGTAAGATGGAGACAGACTGATGGAAGAATGACAAAGGACACTAATGTCATATCAACTTCTGGCTGCCGCATACCCATACCTGCATGGGTGAATGCACCTGTACACATGTGTGCATGAGTGCGCGTACGCACGTGCACACACACACACAGATAAAAAATATGATCTGGAGTAACTTCTGTGTAAAATGAGAATCAGAACACACAGTTCTATTTGACGCAGAGAATTGTCTCTCTCTGTGCTGTTGCCTGATAGCTGCAGTAAAGACTGCACAGTGACTGTAGTTAACCTGGTGAGAAGGAAAGGATCACTCTTCATTGCTGCTTCATCTTACTCTATCTCTTTATTGAATGTATTTGCATATTCAGCTAACTAGCCACATTATTTCTATGCTTATTACCTACAATGCTTAATTTGTGTATGGGGGGAGTAGGTGTGGTGTATCACACGCAGAGGCCAGAAGTTAATATGTCTTTCTTTGTGGCTCTCCACCTTTTTGTTGGTTTATTTCCTTTTGAAATAAGATCTCTCTGAACCAGTAGTTCACCATTTGGCGAGACTAAGTAGCCAGTCCCCGGGATCTTTGTGTTTCTTTCATTTAGCGCTAAGAACAGAGCTCTTGTGTGAGAGTACATGCACACATGCACACGGAACTGGAGTTACCTCACACACATCAAATAAAATCTTAAATGTCATATCTCATATCTATATTTCATGTCTAGGCATGAAACAGTTTTTTTTTCAAAATCTCTAATGACCTGTATTTACTCTAATAAAGTTTTTTTTCCAAGTTAAAACCAAATAACAATATAACCTAATGTTTATCCAGTTTAGATTGTTTGTTTTTTGAGATTTATAAAGCAATAAAAGGAATGCACCATTGGTAGTAGGGAAATAAAAATGCATCTCTTGAGTGTTGTGTTCCCAAAGGCTCTCTTTTCTTTGTAGTGTTATCCCACAGATGCAGATGAAGCTTTTACTGGTGCCAGGCACCTCATCCATTACCCTCAGGCTGACTGAATTAGAAGTGAATAAAGGGAAAAGTAGTAGGCAGAAGCCTGCTGTTAGTGTGAACTCTGCTTGAACTAAATCATCCTTTCACACTTGGAGTGGGCGAGCTTGCTATTCAGAGACTGTTTTCCTTTATCTCTCATAGTTATATTAAGCATTAATGTTTATTAAAATGGAATATTACTCTCTAATGTGGCATTTATTTAAAGACACCAGTTTCTTCTCTCTCTCTTTCCCTTACTCTCCCTACTGGGGTGTGAACCCACAGCCTCATGTTGTTCAAGCACTGGAGCTATAAGTTGAGCTATGTCTCTTAGCGTTACCATTTCAAGAGCTTACTGTTCTGTTCTTTTCCTCTTGTGTGTTGGGAACATAACTCAAAGTAGAACACCCTCTAAGGTGGTACATTCTTTGAGTCCACGCAATTTGTTCATCATCACTACTCACTAAGAATACTGACTTCAATGGGTATCGGATTTAAAATTAGAAAGCATAAAAGAAAACATTTGAAGACTGCCTTTCCCAGCACTCAGGAGGCAGAGACAGGTGAATCTCTGGGCGTTTGAAACCAGCATGGTCTTCAAAGTGAGTTTCAGGTCAGCCAAGATTACACACACTGAGACCCTGTTTCAAAAAACAAACAAAAACAAAAATCCCACCACCGCCACCACAAACACTTTTCAGTATAGATTAGGTTTGTGCTGTGCCCCGAAGAGAAATCCCAGTTGTTTTTCTTTGGAAGTTTTCAGTGATCTTGAACTAGTGTCCTGGCTTGGGCCATGTGATTTATTATTCATCTTATTTAGTGTTCTGAAATGAGAACGTGATGACTAGTTGATATATCTAGGCAAGAACTCTGAAAATGAATCTGCTTGTTCTTTCCCTCCCTCCTTTGTAGTAATTTGATTTCTGTGAGTTTTACTTTGGGGGCTGTGTTTGATCTTCAAATCCTGCCTCGGCCTCCTGAGTTCTGGGATTTCAGCATGTGCTGCTTATGCTTGGCTCTTTTATTTTAAAATTTATTGGCAATCATTGCTTAAAATTTGTAGACTTTAGCAGATGCTTGTGGCTGTCATTTGGAAAATTACAATTTTATAACATTTCTTTATGAATACAACAAACCTGAGTTTCTTGTTAACTTTTTTTTTTTACTAGCACAAACTTTAATTTACTGAAACTGTTTTCTTACATATTTTCTCCTCCTCAACAGGAAAAGTACCTTTTATTCATGTGGGAAATCAAGTAGTGTCAGAACTTGGTCCTATAGTCCAGTTCGTTAAAGCCAAGGTAATGGAAAAAATAGAAAATGCATGTGACCATTTTCATTGATTTGAACCTAGCTTAATGAAATGCTAATGTAAATTATTAGAAAATATTTCTGAACTATAAGTTGGGTGCTGTTTCATAATATGAATCAATAGCAAAGATGTAGGTTGATTTTTTTTTTCTAATATAGGGAAATGAGAATTTCTGTCTTAAATGAACCTTTTAAGTTCTTAAGAACCTTGAGAAGGAAAATAGAGATAGGATATGTTTTTGAAGTCAAAAGTATTGAGTTTCTTACTTGGCAGTCAATAATTCTGTTCATTTGTTTAATTTGGATTTTAACCGTTAAGAAACACTGTTATTAGCCAGGCAGTGGTGGCGCACGCCTTTAATCCCAGCACTCAGGGCAGAGGCAGGCAGATCTCTGTGAGTTCGAGGCCAACCTGGTCTATAAGAGCTAGTTCCAGGACAGGAACCAAAGCTACAGAGAAAGTCTGTAAGAACAATAACAAAAAAGCAGCACTTTCATTCTTAGGGCAGCATTCTTGCAGACCTTTATATAGACAGAAAACCAGATCATACTATTATGTGTTATTTTATCCTTTAAAATGATTCCATATTAATGACTATACACAGATACATATCTTAAAAATGGTTGCATGGTTTTCTGTTGTGTTTTATGCATTATATAGTTTTTAAATGAGCATTTGGACATTGATCTTTTATATTGCTATTTATAAGTATTAAAATGAATTTTCTTTTGCAGAAAACTCTGTATACTTGTTTCATTAAGATAAATTCCTAAGGCAGGCGTGGTGATGCACACCTTTAATCCCAGCACTCTGAAGGCAGAGGCAAGCGGGTCTCTGTGAGTTTGAGGCCAGCTTGGTCTACAGAGTGAGTTCCAGACCAGCCGGGGCTACATGTTAAGACTCTGTCCCAAACAAAACAAACAAAAAGATAAATTCCTGAAAGTGTTATTAGGATGCTTTGACATATATCTTTTAATAATTAGAACAGATCATCGCATTGAGCTAGGAGCTATTCTATGTCTCTTCATTGTTACTTTTGACTTTGTCTTTGTCCCCATATCGTTAGCTATTTTCCCCCATCTTTGCCCATTTTATAAGTAGCACATGTTTAACATTTATTTTGTTTTTAAGGTTTATGCCTGAAAAACACAAGGTTTACTACTAACCATTTTGTTTTCTCCTTTATGAAATAATTCATTCTGTAATTTTGTCTATTGAAAATACATCTTTTGTATTTCAAATTAAAACTACTTAGTGGTGACTGAATATTAGGTATACTTTTATACATAATAATTTTGTTTTAGAAAGCATTTTGGAAATTAATCCATTGGACATTTATATACTATATTACTTGTGATAGAAAGATAACTGAAAGATTTTTGTATTTTAATATGATGCTCTTTTAAAATTTTTTAAATTCCCTTTAGGGCCATTCTCTTAGTGATGGGTTGGATGAAGTCCAAAAAGCAGAAATGAAAGCTTACATGGAATTAGTCAACAATATGCTGTTGACTGCAGAGGTATAAGATTATAATGCTTGAAATAAAATAGTCTTGTATAATTTGCATTCTCATATAAACTTTCCTTACAGTCTACTGTAAAGCCATTGAGAAGCTGGATTCAGGCTGGGGGTCATTATCTATAAACAAGTTTCCAGATATCTTCAGCTCTGCTGTCGCTCTTAGAAGCAGTGAGTCTTGTCTACTCACTGTTTCACGTTAGCCTTTTGCAGTTTACTTTAATAATACCCATACAATACTGCTGTACATATGTACAAACATATGTTCTGTACATAAGAAATGTTTTCTGTAAAGACTGCTGGTAAATTTGATAATTCTGTCCAGTGAATTAGCCAAGAAGGAAAAAGCTCATATATTTAATTGACAAAGTTGTCTTATTAGGAATTACTGTGGCAAGAAATAAGTTTGACCCTTTTCTTTTTGGTAGTTTCAGTGACTCTTGTTTTGTTCCTAGCTGTATCTCCAGTGGTGTGATGAAGCTACAGCCGGGGAGGTGAGTGGTTCTGCAGCATTTATCTTAATTAAAATTTAATGAGAAAACACTTCTGCTCAGAATCGCAAGTCCCTGCTCATAAATGAAACATTGTGGTTTATACCATTAGTGATACAGTTTTTCACTTACTTTAATTTTGCTTGCACATACATTTTAGGGAAGCCATGTGTCATTGTTTGATAGAACTGGTTGTAAAGTACATAAAAGTTTATATATTTTTAAAGGGAATGGTTTAAAATTTTAATTTTTTATGTTGTAAGCTATATATATTTTTTTTCAAGATTGCTTTATGTATGCACTCCGAGGATACATTTTAGAATTCTGTTTGTAAAAATGCATTGTTTTCTAGGAAGGATTCTGTGTTTCACAAAGTTTTTTTGCTTTAGATCACTCATGCTAGGTATGGCTCCCCTTACCCTTGGCCCCTGAACCACATTTTGGCCTATCAGAAGCAGTGGGAAGTCAAACGTAAGATGAAAGCTATCGGATGGGGTAACAAGACTCTGGATCAGGTCAGTACAGATCAAAGTTAACAAAAGGATCTCTTCCTATGCATTAAAATGGCCTTAGTTTAAAGAATAATCTCAGTGTAATATTGTAACATAAACAGCAAAATACTTGATATCCTTTCTCTCTCGTGACATAGTTATATTTCTCTTATGAAAGTTTCCTGTGCCTATGAGGCCTAAATGACAAGTAATTTCTGAGATCCTGTCACCTCAGACTTGCTCCTCTTCATTTGCAAAATATTTTCTAGATGTCTAAGTAATACTGTCCTCAAATGGGATCATATTTTGCCTGCTGTTCTATAACTTGATTTTTTTCTCCTCCTAAACAGCATATTATTGCAGTCTTTTGTCAATAAATAGATCTGCAGCATCAGATCTTAATAAAGCTTTATTAAGTACAGTACTTAACTGGCTTCACTTGAAGGGGGTTGTCTTAAGTTTACTAAAGTAACAAAAATATTTAAAAGTGTAATTTTCAAGGTCTTGAAGTTGAACATCAGTCATTTAAGCTAACTGGTGATTTTTTTTTCTCTCCCTGATTCCTAGCTAGACATCATACTGATGTGTGCTACAGGGGGTTAGCAAGTAACTGGATAGAGTGAGTGAGGTCAGTCTCCAGCACTTTCTAGTATGTCATTTTTATGGAGTAGACTCCCCTCACCCCTTAAAATATAAGCAAAATCATTGAATATATGGTCTCAGGAAAACATTGTTTAGAGAATTAAATTTTGAGAGAAAAACTTTTTGTTAAACAGTGATCTTTATCAGTAACTTAAATTGTATTTAATGGGTTTTCACTAATTCCCATTAATATCAAAAGCATTACTTATGTCATGTATAAGGTCTATGGTCTTAAAAATTTAAACTGAGTCTGTTTTTGTTATGAACTGGGATATAGAGTCTTACATACTTTTTATGGTTTTGCTAATTTGGCTACTTTTCTCTTTGGTTCACTGCCTGCATAGGTCTTAGAAGATGTGGACCAGTGCTGTCAAGCCCTTTCCCAAAGACTGGGAACACAACCTTACTTCTTCAATAAGCAGTAAGATGTTTTCTTCTTGTGGGAATGGCTTTGCTTGACATAGAGGTTTCAGATGTCTTTTATCATAGAGCTCTTATTCTTTTCAAGAAGGACATATAACTCTGCTCTTCTTGGTGGGGACAACTGTGCTGCTCTTCTTGTTACGGTACAGGAAAGGGTCCAGCCCCCTGTGGTCATGTCATTGATGTTGCAGCTTTCTGTCCACAGATTTTATTTTCAAGTAGCAAGATACATTACTATATAGAGAGATATAAATATATAGTAATATATACTGTATATGGTAATATATATGGTAATATGCATATAATGTATAGTATATATATAATATATATAAATATATAGAAAATACTTGTTTTTTAAAATTCATTTTTGTACTCATTAAACATTTATTCCCCTCTTGACTGTGAGGCACAGTGCTGCTTAACATAGAACTAAGATTTCTATAGTCTAGTCCTTGTCATTGAGTTTTCTTAAGATCAGTCATGTAAATCAGTCAGTTTTTGTATGATTTGACAAAGATTTTGATATAGTTTAAAGTTCTGTAAGAAGTACAAAATATTAAAATCTTAAACTTTCAAGTACAACAACACAAATATGCTGATAATATAGCTCCAATCTGTAGTATAAGATGCTTGAAGACCAGGAGAGTCATTAATAACAAGCAGAATACTGTCAGAAGGACAAGAACTGTTTATCCTTTTAAAATGAAAATATCATAAATACAGATATCAAGGAGTATAGATAAAATATATGCATATATGTAAATTGAGTAATGCATATTTTATTAACAAGAGTTTAAAATTTTAATGCTAATTACATTTTTAATTAATAAGATTCATTAAAAGGGCAAAGATTTTTCTTTATTAAAAATTATAACTAGGGAGGAGGTTTAAGACAGTGTTTCCTGTGTATCCCTGACTGTCCTGGAACTTATTCTGTAGACCAGACTGGTTTTTAACTCAGATCCAGCTACCTCAATCTCCTGAGTGCTGTGATTAAAGGCATGTATCATCACTGCCTGGCAAAAATAATAATTTTCGTATATTGAAAGTGATTGTTCAATTAGGTGATACAGTGTAGATGAGTTTAAATTAGTATTTTCATCTCAATGACTTTTTTTTGGATTTTTCGAGACAGGGTTTCTCCGTAGCTTTTTTTGGTTCCTGTCCGGGAACTAGCTCTATAGACCAGGCTGGCCTCAAACTCACAGAGATCCGCCTGCCTCTGCCTCCCGAGTGCTGGGATTAAAGGCGTGCGCCACCACCCCCGGCTTTCAATGACTTTCTTAAGGCTATTTTTTTTCTTGGCTTATTATTAGAAACACTGTATTTTAGGTTGATAATACTTTTTCATGTGTATGGTATGCATGCATGTGTATGCTCCCATATGTAAATGTGTATATGGCTGTACATGCATGGGTAGGTGTGTGCCTGTGGAAGCCTGAGGTTGATGTCAGGAACTTCCTAGATTGCTTTATTCTTTTGAAGAAGAGTCTGTAAGGTCTATTATCAAATCCAAAGCCTGTTGATAGGGCTGGTTCCTGCAGAGCCAGAAGAGGCCATTGGACCCATGGAGCTGGAGTGTAAGGACAATTACGAGCTGTGATGTGGGTGCTGGAAACCAAACCCAGGTCTTTTGAAAGAGCAGTCAGTGCTCTAAACCACATCTCTCCAGCTCCAATAATTAAAAAAAAAATTATTCTATTCTATTTTAAATTCTGTGTATATGATTGGGTTTGTACATGTGAGGAGGCCAGAGTCCTGAGCTGGAGTTAATGGTGATTGTGAGCTATGACATGGGTGCTGGGGTCAAACACAAGTCCTCCCCGGGCTTCATTTGCTATGATTGCTACTCTTCATAGACATCATCTTCTGTAGCCATACCAACATACTTTATATTAAAAATGAATATGACAATTTAGAAATACTTCAACTATATCATTTTGTAACAGAAGTAATATAAAACTACATATATAACATATACATCTCAGGTTATATAAAATTATTTTAAAATTAAAAATTGGGACTTGTTAATCTCTGAAGCAAAAAGCCTACAGGATTCATCAGATCCTGGAAGTTACAGCTTTTACAACTATGTTGTCTTTCTGTTCTTTAGTCCCTAACGCAAAGACATATACCCAGATGTTAGTATTATGTAGTTCTTTTTATTTTTGGTATTGAATTCTTACTAGTGCTAAAGTTGAGAGGGGCTATGTTTCATTGTTTGAAGTGCAGTATTCTTGTTTACCAATGAGTGATTTTTGTTACACATACATATTACACATACATGGGCGGGCAGGAGAATAATTTTTAGTTAAAGTCCTTGTCAATGCGTTGATAACTATAGACCTTTTGGCATGTGATTTAGAGAAAAATTAAAGATACTACTTTTGTTAAGTTGTATTTAAACTTACAAAAGAAAATGAAATTTAGACAGTTGTAAAACAGAAGACCTGCTTTTGATATTTAATTGGTATTTAAGATATAAGCATTCAAAAATTTTACCTAATGTGATGCTTAGGCAAATAAATTTTTTTATTAATAATTAGATTGAAGAATATAATTTTGCCTATCTTTTTTATTTAATTTTTGGAGATGAGGCTATTACTGTATAGTTCTGGAATTTGCTATGTAGCTCAGGCTGACCTCAAACCTCTGCTCGCTGTTGCTTAGCCTCCCAAGTGCTAAGATTACAGGTGTATGCCACATGTCTGTCTGCCCTTCATTTAATCAGTATTAAATGGAAAGAATCTACATTTAGGAAAAGGTAACTTGTACTTTTATTTTGCTGTGGCAAAACTTTTTTAATTTTTCTGTGGTAGAAGTCAGTTTTTCATGAGACATGGTTTCTTAACTAGTAAGGTACTGGCTTAAGATACATAGGTTAGATTCTAATTAGAAGCCTTGAATTGTACCCTTGGCTCTCACGTATACTAAACAGTGACAGATTCTCTTTTCCTTTGTATCCTACTTTTACTTCCTAAAATTAAAACCAACTTTGGTTGTTACTTACCTACTGGAGATATTGAGAAAAAACTTTTAAAAGAAACCAAATGGAAAAGAGGAAAAAAGTTTTGTAACAAGAATAGTAATTGAGAAAAAAGACAGAAAGGGCCTTGAGTTTCATACTTTAGTAGCAGTGTAAAGCTCACTATTTCATGTGTATACAGGGATCATGTGTACTATGACACATGGGTGGAGCTTCTGGGAGTTGGTTCTTTCCTACAATGAGGGCCCAGGGATTGAGATTGTATTATCAGGAAGCCAGTGCCTTTACCTGCTGAGCCATCTCGATGGCTTGTGTAATTCAGTTGTTGTTGGTTTGTCCTTGTCTTTCATAAGAGCTGTAGGTTTTTCTGAATTGGTTGCTTATCTTTTTTCTTTTGGCATAATTTACATTTTGTAAAATTGGTACTTTTAAGAGCATGGTTTTGAGTTTTAAGAAATATGTATATTGTTGCATAACCACAGTGTACTTTATTTTACAAAACTTAAATTATTTATGTATGTGTTGGTGGAGGGCATGCTACAGTACAGTGTGGAGGTCAGAGGACAACTTGGAGAAGCTGGTTTTCTCCTTCTACCATGTGAGTTCCTGGGATAGAGCTCAGGTCATCAAGCTGGGCAGCAAGTGCCTTACCCCTGCTGAGCCTTCTTTCCAGCCTCACAAGTACTTTTTAAAAGGAAGGAATTGTGGGAATTGATAATTTGTAAAAGTCAGAATCAGTTAACATGAGTCACTGAAATTTGTAAGGATTGCAGAGAATGCCTTTAATCTTAGTATTTGGGAGGTAGAGGCAGGTGGATTTGTGAGTTTGAGGATGAACTGATTTATATAGAAAATTCTGGGCCAGCCAGGACTATACAAGTAGACATTGTCTTAAATTTTATGGATTATAAAAAAAATGTGTTTTGATAATGTATGTGCTTTGTTTGGTTCAGCTGTTGTATCCTACTTCCCAACTGTTTTCAAAAGCAACTTTAAGTAACTGTCTTATGTAACAGTTTTTGTATGCTTATTTTTATATATAAATTTATATCCATATATAACTCCATATATGAGTATATACTTTTAGCATTTGACATTTTGATCTCTTTAGAGTACTTCTGACCCACCTTAACTTGAGCACAGATTCACTGTTGACCTTATTCAGAGCCTTCATTTATTGATAAAAAATGCCCAGCTATATAAGAAGTGAGGGATGATTGACATAAATGTGTATTAAGAAAACCAGTCCCCACTTGTAAGATAGATATCTCTTTTTAAGACATATTAGGGATATAGGACAGTTAGTGTTTATATTACTCTAGTGAAGACCTTAACTCTGCATTTATCTCTTCGTGTTCTTGGCTCTTTGTAAGGATCTGCTTGTTATTGATTTCTTCATTTATGATGAAAAAATTATGGTGCTATTAAGTCCAAGGACTCTTCTTATTTAAAAAGAAATGCTACCCTTTGACTACCTACTTAAATGTGAGCACAGTGTACACATTTCCATTTCATTTTATTTTTAGACAGGAATTGGTGTATAACCCAAGATCACCTTCAATTTACAATGTTACTGACTAAGCCTGAGTACTGCAGTTAGAGGCAGGTGCCAGGTTGTACATCTCACACCTGACAGTGACTTACCTTCCTGCCTTCATGTACTCAGCCAACCCGGAGACTGCAGACACTGGGCTGAGGTCTAGTGCTATAAAGATTCGGGCAGTGCTTGCTGCTTTTAAAACTTACGGACCCTGGGGAGGGAAACAGTTCAGTGAGTGCAGCTTTAGTGCGGTATAAGACACATATCGCCTTTTTATTGACTCTTGTAATGGGCATGTGGAGAACCTGCTCTGTGTGTGTGTGTGTTTGCACACATGTGCAAGTGCACACGTTCACACTTGTTTTCCATGTCTTAGAATATCTTCTTTTTTAATCTCTAGCATAGTTTCTGCCACACTGGAAACATACTATATTTATTTTATGATTAAAATAATAACTTTAGGACTAGGGAGATGGCTCAGTGGTTAAGAGCACTAGCTGCTCTTCCAGAGGACCTGTGTTCATTTCCCAGCACCTACATGACAGCTCACAACCACCTGTAACTCCACTTCCAGGAGATTGGACACCCTCATACAGACATTCATGCAAGAACCAACGTTCATGAAATAAAAATAAATTAAAAATGAATGCAATTAATGTTATCTTTTTCATGTTCTGTAAATGAAAAAAATTTCCATCAAGTTGTGGTAGGATTTATTTCAGTGACTTTTTCTTTTCTAATTGATGAATAAAATGTTCTTTAAAAAAGAATGCTTTCTAATGTAAAAATGAGGTGCCTTAGCTTTTCTCATCATTATTTTTTTAGACCTACCGAACTTGATGCTTTGGTGTTTGGCCATTTATACACCATTCTCACCACACAGCTGACCAGTGATGAACTTTCTGAGAAGGTGAAAAACTATAGCAACCTCCTTGCATTCTGTAGAAGAATTGAACAGCACTATTTTGAAGATCGGGGTAAAGGCAGGTTGTCGTAGAGTTGTATGTCAATTAGTTATAAAAAAAAAATCTAACTCTTGAAATATGAATTACTTGAACAGTATAATAAAAGTTTCAGAATTTCAAAACCAAAACCACTTTTTTGAAACCTCAGAAATTTGCACAATGTCATATACATGTTCTTTGTGCTGTCTGTGTCTACCTTCATTTTGAGTTGTTTGATTTGTTACACTGTATTCTATATCTTGACATTTTATTTCTTTATGAGCATATAAAAATAAACCTCAAGCACTGTGGTTGTTTCATTTACTGTTTTTGGCTACTCACTGAACTCACGTGGAATAAACAGTTGTCTAAGCGCCTGCTGTGTGCAGTGAGACTACGGAGCACATGGGGACAGTGGCCCTGGGAAGTATTCTCTACCAGTGTGCCCAGAAAGCGGGGTGACTGTTGGCTGTCCGGTGAGGCACACATCGAACAGTCTTCATTCCTGAATTAAAGTGAAGTAATGTTTCGTTAGGGCAGGATAGATTGAAAGAACTATTTTATGAGGATGAGAACTTCTTCATTTTTTTTTATTCTTTTATTTTGGTGAGGGGGTAGTTTTTATAGGAGTAGGGATGGGAATTCATATACAAAACTAAGGATTATCTATCGTCTTCCCTCATAGTAGTGGTGCTGTAAAGAAGGATATGTAAATCTGTTAACATGTCGAGAGTGATAGTTATTTGATACTACCTTCTTATTCTTTACCAGACATTTCCAACTCAGTTCGTTTCACAGAACACTTAATGTTAATCATCACCAGTTTACAAAAGAGGAAATGGAGTCACAATCTTCTAAAATATTCATGTATGTGTACAAATAGTTTAGTCATGTGCATCCCCCACTCCCTCTAGTACTTCCCCTTTCCCCACATATATCCCATCTCCCCATAACTTCCTGTCTTTAAAATAATAGAAAGTTTTTTTGCAACCTAAGTCAAATTACTCATGTTTGTGAGGTCATTCAGTGTGGGTTGTGGGTCAGCCTACCAATGGCTTCCCCCTCCCCAGAGAGAAGTCTCTCTCTCTCCCTTCCTCCTCAGTCATTGACTGCCATGGGCTTCTCAAGATGAGTGGGCCATTGGGAGGAGCCCTTCCCTGCTCCATGACCACATAGTCTTTCTTGCTTTGTTTGTATTTCATCTCCAAGCTAACACCTTTTTCCCTTTCTGCATAGGGTTTCTATGTAATCCTAGCTGTCCTGGAAATCACTCTGTAGACCAGACTGACCCTGAACTCAGATCTGCCTGTTTCTGCCTCCTGAATGCTTGGATTGAAGGTGTGTGTCACAACTGCCAGACTTCAGGCTAACACTTTCAAAGGGGAATTTAGCTTCACTTTTCTATTCCATAGAGTTCTGAGAGAGAGAGAGAGAGAGAGAGAGAGAGAGAGAGAGAGAGAGAGAGAGATAAAGTACTGGATTGTAGGTGTTTGCTGCCACTTGTTCTGTTTGTTTAAAGGTTTTAAAAATTTTGTATATGTGAATACTTCTCTGTGTGTACCAAGTGTATACCTGGTGCCTTCAGGGGCCAGATCCCCAGGAACTGAAGCTACAGACAGTTGTGAGCTCACTGTGTGTGCTAGAATCTGAACCTGGGAACAGCAAGTACTCTTAACTGCTGAGTTCAGCCCCTAAAGTGCTTATTTTAATTCGTTCAACAGCCAGGGTTGTGTAAAGTAAGTACTCGAAGAGAGTGGCGTGTGTATGTAAAATTTAGATCGAAGTAAATTCATAGTAACAGTTGAGTAGTTGCCTGGAGTGAGATTATTTATTTATTCATTTATTTGGTTTTTCAAGACAGGGTTTCTCTGTAGCTTTGGAGTCTGCCCTGGAACTCACTCACTGAGATCCACCTGCCCCTGCCTCCCGAGTGCTGGGATAAAGGTGTGCACCACCACCACCCAGCTCTGGAGTCAGATTTTTTATTCTTTGTGGACTGTATGTAGAGGGGCATTTTTTGAAGGGTAATGGGAAATTACTTTGATTCTAATGTTTATAAGGTATGTATGTTTATCAAACTGTATTTTATTGTATGTAAATTACAGCCCAATAAAGTTTGTTTAAATAAATTTGATAATTCCCCTGTCTCCCTTCCCTCTCCCCTTCCTCTTCTCTTCATCATAAGAAGCAGAGACTTTCATTTAAAAGTCACTAGCTTTGGGAAGTAGTCCAAGTTGGCCTTGAACTTGAACTCAGCTGGCCTCCTGCATTGAGATTTTTGGATTTTTGAGTACCGGTTTACATTTGGTTATTGTCTAGGTCCTGTATTTCCTCCTAGGTAAGGAAAGAGACTGGTAAGTCAGCTCTATACTGACGTTATTCACTTTTCGTTGGGCTTTTACTCCATACCTGGCTGATAAGAGAGGTGATTCTTGTTTTGGATTCTGGTTAAATCTGACATCAGGCTTGGTTTCAGTCCCCTATTCTGTTTCCTTGTCTTTTGTTCCACTGTGCAGTTTTAAAGTGATTGGATGCTATCCCCCACACTGCTTTAGCTAAGAGAGGTAAAACATTTTTTAGTTGTAGGAGCCGATACTTCGTCTCTGATTCTTGAGGCTCTGCTTATGGTCATATTCCTCTAGTCAAGTTATTTCATGCTTTGTTGGCACCGCTCCCCGTCTCTCCGTTTAGCCAGCAGCCACAGACTGGTCAGAAAGGTGGACCAGTGATGGGGGGAGTGAGACAGGTGTTAGTGGTGCGAGCTGTGCCATGCTAGAATGCATCCATAAAGGGTAAAATAGAGCTACTAGTCTGCCACATTCAGCTGATTAACTCCTTTCATGAACCCATTGACTTCACTTGGGACTTGAACTGTGAAGTACCAGAGGCCATGTGTGCATGCTTTTAATTCCAGCATCCAGGAGGCAGAGGCAGACAGATCTCTGTGAGTTCAAGGTCACAGAGTTTGTGTGACCTTGGTGTGTGCCAGGTCATCCAGGTTAGTGATATGTGTGTGTATGCACATATAGTCTATGTACTATGTAAAGGGGGTTATTGAGGAGGCAAGGGAGCTTCCTCTGTAGTGCAGTCTCCTTACCCTTGCCTAGCTAAGGACCACTGGTACTTGCTTGGTGTCCAGTGCTAACCAACAGGAGTAAAGTTGACGGCATCGTGTGGCTTTAGTTAGTGACCATTGCAAACAGCTTTCCTTTTCTCCAGCAGCAAATGTTAACTTTGCTTTGTGCATCATTGCAGTATTTCAGAACTCACCAGAGACTGTATGTAGCTCTCAAATGACCCATGTTACAGTGTCTAATACTTGGGTAAGAATTCCATTTTCTCATTTGTTATTTGGTCAGTCATCCATTTAATATATATTTAAATGCAGGCAGAAGTGAGTTGGGGGTTTCTTTTCTTTGAAGGTACTTAGGACTTAGTGTTAGGAGTAAAAACACCAGCACTGGGCCTGCAGAGGCACGTATCACTGCCACGGGCTTAATGAAGCCTCGAAGGATCAGCTGGACTGTTGGCAGACGCCTCATTTCCTGTGGTCGTCCCCCCACAAGTGAAGCAGCGCTTGCTTCCACAGTCTTCACAATCATCCCCCACTTGTTCTGCAGGCCTCACGTTGCTTTCTTCCCCTTGCATTAGTCAGGTTGAAGGATTCACGGTATTAATCACGAGTGAAGCTGTTATTTATCACCTGCTGGGTGAGAAATAATAATTTTGGCACGAGTGGGGCAGCAGGCCAGAGGTACCAAATTAAGTAAAACATCTAAACACTAGCAAGGATCATTTCTCTGATTAATGAATTGTTACAAAGGAAAAGTGCTACTCATTATCTGGTCTTACCCGTACAAAGTGGGCCCGGAAGAGAAAAGCGGACCAGCGTGCTCAGGCCAGTTTTTGTCTGTTTGATTACTTTTCCCTTCTGATTGTCTCTACAGAATTGTGCAGTCACACCATTGTTTTGGTTTTCTTTGTTACCAAAGCACAGAGACCTAGAAAAATAGCTTGTTTTAATATTATATTAGAAAATATTAAAATAGTGATTGAAACAAGTTTTTTCCACTGTGTATCTTTAGTTGGCCAAGACTTCTGTGTAAACAAGGCTAACCTTGACCTCATGGAATCTACTTGCCTCTGCTGGGATGAGAGTTGTATACCACCACCACAACTGGCCTGAAATGATGATTTTTGTAACTTTTAAGATATTAAAATGATTTTTGAAATAGGAAAGGTAAATCACCTTTAGAATGTTTAGTGACCTCAGATGCGTATAAATCATCCCTTGCCCCATTCCTGGGGCTCAAACTTGGGACTTTCTGCATTATAGGCAAGGTCTCTCCCACTCAGCTATATCTTCAGCTTGCTTGTTTTGTCTTGACATGGACTCATAAAGTGCCCAGGATGGCCTTGAACTCACTGTGTAGTCCAGGCTGTATTTAAACTTACTACCTTCCTGTCTCACATCCTACATAACTGGGATTACAGGCATCTGCCACCAGGTCCAGTCAAGTAAAAATACCAGCATCTTCAGTATTTCTGCCGGGTGCTGTTGATGAAGGGCTTACTTCAAAAAGGGTCCATTTTCATTTGTGGGTCTTTTTCTCTGACAATTTCAAAATAAGTTTGTTTCACTCTGATTCCTCAAGTTTTATTATATTTTATTGTGATATTAAGAACTTTGCCCCCCATTCATGATAGGAATAATAAGGATATTTATTCATGGTAGAATAATAACCAGGCTCATCCTGTCTTCAATAACTTAAACCAGATGAAATACATGGAATGGTGGATTCAGACGTGGGACAAGATAAAGGACAGTGAGCCTTGTCTGAAGAGAAGAGCATCTCCAGGCTACCCAAAGAAGATGAGAACCCAAGTGGAAGCCAGCAGTCTCCTTGGTAGAGAATTCAGTGGAGTGCTGAGGGAAGACACCTGCATAGGGAACTCTGGAGATCTAGGTCTTTAGTCTTCCAGTGTTGGCTCTGCTGTGCTTACAGAGAAAGCCCCTGGGGCCCGAGAACAGCTCTGATAGAAGGCTGCTCACGGTTTAGTCCCTGCTAGAGAGTAGAAAGGCCACCTACACACACGGCATCAGATAGATGGCTCAGAAGAATATTGCGTGCCTTAGTGCCCATGTGGAGGGTGAAGTCCTGAGTGAATCCTGAGTGAATGTGTATTACATATCAAGGACCCCAGTGCCTGAGGGTGGCAAAGTCTTCCCCAGGTCAGGTTAAGAGGAATGGCAAACACAGATGTTACTAGAGGTTAAGAGCTAAAACCAGTGTGTGCAGAAACTATTTCACCTTCCCAG